TTGTAATGCCCATGCCTAAAGTTATTTGATTTAACATTTTTTAACAATTTGAAAAATAAAAAATATGATAGTTTGAGTGCATTAAAGAATTTTCAGAAACAGCAACATTTTGCAAAAGATAACAGTATTTTATTTGTTTAATAGGGATATTTTGGAGAGAAAGAGAAATCAGATTCTGGTATTTTCCAGTAAATTGTTGCAGCTTTCAATGGTGTTATGTATTTTGGGAACAGAATAGGTTTTCCATTAAGGAAAAAAGTTTATCACAAGTTCAAACTGAAAATAACTTCATAAATTAAATTCTACCTTGAATAATTACGGAGAAATAAGTTATCCATTTAGATGAATAATTGATCTGTTTTTTAACTTTGAAAAGTTAATGTGGTAAGCAAAATGATGTGTTATCCAGGTAATAATTTAAAGAGGTGTAACTGAGTTAATTTTGCACGATAATTACTATTTCTATATTTTGAAACGTGGAATACAAAAGAGATTTTTGAAACTGCTTCTAAATAATAATCAAGTTGTGATGGCATAATCCTATAGTAAATCCTCATTATTGCATGTGATTAATGTTTGCTAGATGAAACTGCATTAAGAAAATGCATGAAATAATAATTATAGCTCATCCATTGGTCAACATGAATTTGAAAAAAAAAAAAGTAAGAGATAAAATTATCAATTTAGCATCTAAGCATTTTATTGAACTATTCAAAAATGTTTGAATAAATGTCAGTGTTTCCGTTCCCCCCCCCACCATGCAATATACAGTGGTAAACAGTTACTTTACTAAAATTTTGTTTTTCCAGTTGCAGAATCAGCACTATACAGAATTTCATTCTCTATTATGATTGAAATCTAGTTAACTGAGAATCAAGAGAGTAAACAGGTGCCATTTTTTCCCATCCATCTGATAGATATTTTGCATATCTAGGGGGGACTGCTTAATCTTGCAACTACCGAAGGGTTAACTAAAAGTAAAATTTCCAGCATAATAGCGAATTTAATTGCAAATAAACTTAGTGAGTAATTTACTCCCTGTGAGGTAAGCTTAAAGGAATGAAAACAATACAACTAATAAATTAATGCTTTTATGGGTTAAACTATTTATTTAATCATATTTTATTAATATCTTTTACTTTTTTAAAAGAAGAAAAGTTTTTGTTTTCCAAATTTTGTTATTTTGTTAAATTTATGTCATTTGGTATTTTAATGCACATATTTTTTAACAGATCGTTTGCAAGACACTCTTCTTCATGAAATGTGTCATGCTGCAGTGTGGATCATAAACAAAATAAATAATGTTTGTCATGGTCCTTTATGGCAAATATGGTAATCATAAATTTTTATTTTATCTTTTTTTATTTTTAACCTGAAAGGATTATAAGTCAATTCAACTTTTTGTTAAACCGCTTTTGTGTCATATCACTTGTCTGTATCACTATTTAAATAAAGAGATACCATGATATCGGGTTAGTCAAAGAGGGAATGCTTTTTATCATATGAAAAAGTCTGACAAAGTAATGCATCAATAAATGGTTTGGCTTATTTGGTTATTTAATTATGCAAAGTATGCTAGGGTTATCTGCCTAAGGGTAGGGATGCCTTCGTGGAGGGCTTTCTAAGAGAAACTGGTTAAACCACAAAAACGGCCATGCAGTTCATGGGATTCGAACCTCGGACTGAACTACCAGTGTTCAGCCATTGGTGGGCTCATCAATATATGAAAGCAGACCAATGAAGAATATTGGTCTAAACACTGAATGACCTAGAAAATAAACCATTTAAACATCCACTGTCAGAAGAAGAGAAGCTCTTATAACTTGAACAGTGAGCCTTTGAGGCAATGTTAAAATCTGAATTATTTCAGAGCTTTTCTTTATGTTTTCATTTTATTTATTTTTTGCATAATTTAGTCATTATAAAATCACCTGTAAATGAATTGCTGCTGTTTTTATTAATCAGATTGATAAATATAATTACATGCTGTTTACTGAAGCATTAAGAGTTGTATATTTTTATGATAATTATTAAAATCATTGTTCAAATATTTGAGGAAAAATTCCCATAGCTTCCATAAAAACTGTCTGTTTATACTATTTTTCCTCCTTCTGTTTTGTTTGTGGGTGTCATTCATTTTATATATGTATTGAGATATCTAGAACTGTGTAATGTAGATCATTTATTTCTAGGAGACACAAAATTAAATGTTTTTAATTCTTTTGATTAAATTTCATAAAAAAAAGTACTTTATTAAATTTATTTAGTTTAGATGAATGAGTAATTGATAGATTGACCTACAGTATTTAACAAATTTGTAGCTTTTAAAAAATTTCTAGAAATCTATAGTTATTATTTATGTAAATCGAAATTTTCTCAGCTTTGAAAGATTTTAACATCCATGATGAAAAAAAATCTTAAATTTATCTCACCCATTATAACAGCACATTATTTGATCATCATATAAATGATAAATAAATAAAGAGTAGAGTTTCCATTGACAGTGTTTTGAGACTCGCTGCATAAACAGGAAAGTGCAAATCATACCAAATCCTACACATTCATGTCATATGCATAAATACAATAATAAAGTTAAATTGATAAATTATGCATTATGAAACATTACCACACTTAAATAAGGTAATAATAATCTGTATTTGCATATAGAGCAGCAGTTCTCAACCTTTTGACTAACGTGTACTGTCTAAATAAAAATTGAAAAACTTCTCTTCAGAAATTCTCCATGTGACCAAGATTTCCGCAGTTATAGCAACGAATATTTGTTTTATTTTACTTTCAAAATTATTGCCTCTGGTTTCAGAATTAGGTTTAACAAAGTTATTTTTATCGTTATCTAATTTAATTTTTTTTCATACATCTTAAGTTTTTCCCGAAATTCTGCTAAAATTTTATAACCATAAAGAATAGATTAATTTAGTATAGAATCATTTATACCAGTGTTTTTTAGCCTGTTGACTAACTCGTACCATCTAAGCAAAAATATAAAAACTTTAGTACCACTACTACATTTTACAGTGATTATTTTTCAGTTTTTGAATAGAAATATTTAAAAAAATTTTTTGCCATCTGCACAACCTATAGGCTATTTGTATTAAATGTGCACGTATTAAAAATATGAGATTAAAAATTGGTTACAATTTTAATTATCAGAATTTAAGTTATAATACTTTAATTCTAAAATTTAGTGCAAAATTTGGGACTGTTTAAGAGAGATCAATTTATGTCTGGTCTTATTTCACTTAGCTTTAAGCGTAAATTAGGATCCATTTTTATTTTTGTTATCTGTTTATTTTTCAAATATAATATGGAAAAAAATTCTTGTTCACACAAATAGGTTGTGCAAAAAGGCAATACAAATTTTATTGCATTATTTAAAATGCCTTCAAGTTCTTTTTTCGGTTCAGCCAAAAGTTAACAAGTGTGTTATTTTTTGAATCTTCAGTTAGAGTTCGATGGCGCAGTGGCTAGCACACTGCACAGTAGCACCAAGGGTCCGGGGTTCAATCCCTGGGCTGGGCAAGGTTGACTCGACCTTTCATTTCTTGAGTGACTCGATAAAATGAGTACCAAGTTCGCTTGGGGACTAAACACCTGGGTCTTACGACAAACTGACTACTTGTCCAGGGCATATGCTCGTGCATCCCGGAACCCTAGGGCACTTGCAGGCCTTGGCCCACTAGGGTTGTTATGCCATTTAGTTTTAGTTTATTTAAAATGCCTTTAAGTTTCAAGTGAGAATTTTGTTACTTGAGAAATAACACCGAAATGTTTTCCTATTAAAGCTCAAGCTCTGTCTCTGCATATGGCAATGCATTTATTCCAAACAATATTATTCTAAGACATAGAATTGTCAACAACTTTGAAAATTTCATTTGCAGTTGCTCTATCATGAAGAAATGAACAAAATGAATACTCTTTGGCTATTCAAAGTGTCTCTTTTATGGAATTTGCCATTTCATGAATTCATCGATTTACTGTAACATTTGATAATGGAATATTATTAAGTTCATTTAGACACTTTTTCATTAAATAATGTTAAAATGTATCTTTAGCTGCTGGTAACACTACAGGGTTTTCTCCAATAGTGTAAACCTGCCCAGTCATGGCAAAGTAGGTCTTAGGCTTACTCAGTAACTAGCATCCAAAGCCTTTTCACTTGAAGTAACAAACTTTTCATTATTTGTTAACTATTTTTGAACTCTCATAATTTCTTCCTAAAATATTCCTCAGATTTATCCTTTAAATTGGCATGCTTTTATTCAAAATGTATTTTAAGAAAACAATGGTTTCATACTTTGGCTGGATAATACTTCACTGCAAACAGCTGAAGTTGAGGGTTCATTTCATCTTCATTCCAAGTAAACCCAAATGATAAGTAACTTTCATTATATTTTCTATAAACATTTCTTCTTTTCATTTCAATATTCTTGGTGCTAGCAGATTGTCCTTCATTCATCACTTTTACTTTTAAGCTTAATCAATTGCAGCCATTTTTTCCTTTTGAAAATCTAGGTTTTTCACAAATACTTAAATGCACAATACAAGTTCTTCAGAAACAAAGCCCTCCAGCGGCTGTACAGTAAAGTCGCTGAACACTGGTAGTTTGGTACAAGGTTCAAATCCCACAAACAGGCTGGCTGCATGACCATTTTCATGGTTTTCCCTATGTGCAATGTGTATACGAGCCAGTTTCCCTTAGTAAGTCCTTCATGAAAGCATCCCCCCTTTATGCAGATAGCCTTCAAGGCTTTGCCATAATAACATGTACCACTTTAAAAACAAAGGACAATATTCTCAAATCGCGTAGAAAAGTAAGGAAGACAAATCAAGAAGAAGACAAAATACCTGATGTTAGAGATACAAATCAACATTTTAAAAAAAAAAATGATTCTAATTGAAAATAGAGCAATATGAGCTCGGAAATGGTGGCGGCATAAAGTGCAGACATGCTAATATATCGCTTAACTCTAAAAGAATTAATGAAATACTAATATCTTTTGATAGAAATATATTTTGATTTCCTATTAAATACGACATCCATTTCTATTACTCCTTTTAAAAACATCATTTATGAGAAATTTTGTTATGTCTATGCTAAAAGCATATTTAAGAAGATAAAAACTGATTATTTTGCTAAAGTCAGTTAGTGGGTATTGACCTTAAACAAAGCTCAGATCAAAATTTATGAGTGTAGAGAAAAACTTAAACAGGATGTTGGGGTATTTAATTTTTGAATTTAATAGTTAAAAATATTTTGTTTCCCTGCATACCACTTATTTTTCTGTTGCGAACCATCGGTTGAGAATCGCTCATTCTCTCTCCCTTAAGGCAGAAGTTGGCAAACGTTTTTTAGAAAAGGCCACATTGTAAAACTTTTAGACTTGGCTGGCATCTAGGTATGAAATGAGTAATATTGTTATAGAGAAAAGAAAATATTCATTTTTTATGAAGTGATGCATAAAAATGAATTACTTTACATAATATTTATACACATTTTTCAAACACTTACACAAAAAAAAAGAATAAAAAATTTACATTTACATATTAAAAATCATTGTTATTAAATAAATTAAAATTTCTAATGTGAGGAATATTTTTTTTTTTTCTTATCTGAGATAATATCTTATGATACTGAAGTTTTAAATAAGTACTTCCTACTAAGTTGCAAATGGTCATCTGTTAATGATTATTTGAATTGTGATTTTTATATACTTTATTTTGGAAAATGTCTTTTCGCTTTAGTAAATACTCCCAAATGTGGATATCCAACCCCGTGCATATGATTTTAATAGAGCATATTTATCTTCTGTAATACATTTGTAAAACTGAGTTAGATCCTTTTATTTAGACATTATTTTTCAAATCAGTCATTCTCAATTTAAGGCCTGATGGAAGCTCCTCAATTATACAGTCAAATGGATTTTGAAAATGGAAATTGTATTTAAGGTCAGAAAATATATCCTGTGTGTTTTTTTAAGGCATTTGGCTAATATTAGAAATTTTCTACAGCATGGAAAAATGCTATTTGCATTTCAAACATTGCAAATTTTCAGCAATATGCCTTTACAGTAGAATATGTTTTGAATATGAGTACTGTTTCCCCTGTAATTTTTAATTCAATTCATTGAGGTATACCACGATACCTGTGACAAATGATAATTTCCATAGCCATCTGCTCATCGATAATAAAGGCTGCAGGCAATTTTTCTCTTTCAAAAAATATCTATGACTTCTCTCATTTTGAAGAATATCAACAAAATTTTGCCATTGCTGAGTCTTCAAACAGCTGCATGATTAGGCAAAAAAGACTATTTAGCTTAAGTCTCTAATAAAAAGTCATGAAACTGGCAATGGTTAAGTCCACTAGAGCGAAAGAAGTTTACTAATACAGCTGGTTCAATAATAGATGACAGAATGAGGTGTTCTACATGTATTTTTTCCTCAGATGTGACATATTTTAACTGATTCCATTGCAAATGATATTGTATTAGCATTTTCTTGACTTCCTTGAAGATACCTGTAGTTGTTCCACACAGACTATTCATATAAGCTGAATCTTCAATCACCTCAAGTTCAGTATTGACTCCTCAAATAAATACCAACAATTGGACAGTATCAGTAATATCTGTTGATTCATCAAGAGCCAACACCATTTGAAATTTTTTGCCTTGCATTTTAATTGACTTTTGATATGGATCCTGATGTTCTCAAGTTTTCTAGCAGTTGTTTTCGCCAAAAGACAAACAGATCAAAACGTATATATTCTTTCTGTTCAATTGCCACAAGCAAACATGATTTGATCAATTCACCATCGGTAAATTGTTTTACTTTCATGGCTAATAAATGAGCTATTTGTAAGCTGACTTTAGTTTCTGTTTCCGTATCTTTTTTTTTTTTTTTTTTTCTCTCCCCTGCACAAATAAATTACATTGGGAGGATAACTGTTTAAAACTTTCTAGTTTTAATGATAATTCACTTTCTATGGGGTTTGAATACCGTGTTACATGCATAGCTTGGTAATGATGATGTATATTGGACTCTTTTTGCATAGCTATTATATAATTGCATATTAAGCATAAAACTTTGTGATTTTATCTTATGAAAAAATAATTGGCACTGTATTCTGATTTAAAAGCCATTTAAGGTCTATTTTTGTCTTCTTATTTGATTTTGAGAGTAACATGATAACAGTAGGTACTGAATCAAATGAAATAAAAAGAACAAAATATCACAGAGTGCCTTGACAGACTTCTATAGTGATGCACACTGCGGAAAAAAAAAGTGGGGGGGATATTTCTATATCTCTCGTTCTACTGGGCCGTTTGACAAAATTCAAATTTTTCATGTCTCGAAAGCGCGACTTAGCATATATATTTGATTTATATGTCTCATTGTTCTAACATGGGTATTTTGACACAAAATCAGATTTTTTCTGAAATGACATACCAATTTTTTTCCCATATTTCCATTCTACGACTCAAATTATGTCTAGATATTAAATTTTGTAAAATTTGGTGCGAATGTACGGAGAAATTCCAAAATTTATATTGGCTCAATTTTTCAGTTTGCGGCAAGAATAATTCACCTGGTGAACTTCTTAATATATGACAACCATTTTTCCTTTCCCTTCTATTATGCCAGAGAGAAAAAAAGTCACAGTCCACTTCGAATAATTTAGCAATGTTCTAAACCACATTTGATGTTTTATCGCTTTCAACAAATATGCCAAATTTCAAAGGGGCGATATAAAATTCACACGTATCTTTGGAAATTTCGAATAAAAACTGTAATTTTTTGCAGGTATGCTTAGATATACGCCTACTTTAAGATGATGCAATTTTTTATGTTATAATTCAAAACATTTTTTGAAAAATTATAAAAATTTTTTAAAATACAATTTTAAATAATATAAAAATGGACGAATTTTATTTGGAATGAACCTGAATTTCGAATGAAAGGAAGAATCAAATAAGTTTAATAAAATAAAAAAGATTAATAAATATATACCAAACTCAATTAACATTGAGGAGCTAAAATTTTGAGAGCTAATTTTTTAAAAACTACTCTTGCGGTTGTTTCAAAACTTGGAAGTTTGTCATAGTGTGTCGTAGAATTGAAATATGGAAAAAAATTGGCATGTTATTTCAGAAAAAGTCTGATTTTGAGTCAAAATGCTTCAATTAGAACAATGATATATATAAATCTAATACATATCCTAAGTCACACTTTTGAGATATGAAAAACACAAGTTGAATATCGTCAATCGGCCTAGTTAGAACGGAAAAATCGAACTCCACTACCCCTTTTTTTGTTTGCGTAGTGTACATGCATCACTAAGGCAAAACTGTCAAACACTTGTGCAATGCAGAAATATTCATCTTTTGTTGTGCTTTTACAAACAATGACATATGACCGAATACATCAGTAGCACCACTCACAGCCATTATTCACAATTTTTCAACTCAACTATCAGCTGTTGCATTATAGTGCTTGATTTGATTTACTTTTAATGTAAAAACAATACCCCTTGGATTTAATTTGCTGACTACTGATGTAAACACTGAAACATTAGTCCAGTTCTTCAGTTGATGCTTGTTATCAAAACACCCTTGGAAAGAATGTATTGAGGGTGTTTGGGCTGTTGTATTTCACTCACATACTGATCTCATTTATCATGCTTTTAATAATTTATGGACCTTTTATTTCAGAAAGTGTTAGGTTTTATGTGAGAATCCAATTGTATATATTTCTTTTAATTTTTATACATGTTTTATTGTATTATATTTCAAATTATAACTGTACGTTAATGCTTATTAGTGTAAAACATGAACTATTTAAGAACAGCATGCTTCTTAATAATTTACATAAATATCAAAGATAAAATTGCATATCTAACTGATAATTTGGCACAAATGTTCACATCACTAATATAATAAATAAAATATTCTAATAAAAATCTTTGAAATATATTTTTAATTCTAACCGTTGAAGCCATTTTGTAGAATATAAGATAGTAAATTGCATCCAATTCATGATTAACAATTGGGGAAAAAAAAAAAAAAAAGACTTATAACATGTTTATTTTATTTATTAATTTTTTTTTTTTTTTTAATTATTTTATTGCATGGTCTGTCGTTTGTACTACTCGGAAAAGGAGGGATGTTCCCTATAAGACTTTTTAAGGAAAGCTGCCTTATATCCATATTTGAGAAAAACTACAAAAATGTCCATGCAGCTAAACTATTTTCCAGGACTCAAACCATGGACCAAATTACCAGTGTTCAGTGGCTTTTACTGCTTGGCCACTTTGTGGGCCATGACAATAATTTCAATCTGATTATTTTGCACTAGGTTTTAAAATTACTTGATAAACTTTTCTATTTTTAAGGGCTGCAAGGTGCAACTGGATATTACCTAATATAGAAGTTCCCCAGAGGTGCCATAATTATGAGATTTCTTTTCCTTACTTTTACAAATGTGTCAAGTGTGATTGGAAGTAAGTATACTTGAGACATTCCAATTATCTGTTGGAGGAAGTATTACTCTGAGGTTTAATCTTTCTCTTCAGTTTTTAACTGCATTTAAATTTTGTTTTGGTATAGCTGTTTAATATATATATTTCAGAAGTTTTGGTACAGGTATTACAAGCTTTATTTCTTTAAACATTGATTCCCAGATGCTCTCCCCCCCCCAATTAAAATATTTCTTTAAATAAGTTGCAATTTTAGAGGAAATGGTCTCTATGTTATTAGTAGGAAGCTTCTTAAAAATGAAACCCCCTTTTTCTTTTTTCATTACTATCCTTCTATGATAAAAATTCTAATAAATCCAATACTATTATTTATAAACAACAATTTCTATCTCTTTAGCTGTAAAGTACCCAAAAATAAATTTACATACCCCCTCCTTTTTTTTATTTATTTTTTATTTATTTACTGTTTCTCTACAATAAAAATTCTAATAACTAAAAGTTTATTATTATAAACAGCATTTTCTGTCTCTTTAGTTACAAAGTACCCAAAATGAATTTACTTATTAAAATCTTTTTTGCGTACTTATTAATAGAGTTACCTTATCTTTGAAAGCAAAATTGAGTAGATATTGTCAGCAAAAACTTCAGCTTCTTATAAAAAATGGGGGTGGAAGTACAGAAGAAATAAATGTTTTAAAATGTCTTTTTAGTCCAAAGGGGCTTTGTCCCTAAAGGACTATTGTTTTCGTTTTGCGATTTTCCGTTGAATCACTATAATCGGCGTATCACTTTTCAAATTGTTGCCCCTAAATGATAGAGTCCTGCATTGTATTTGAAGAAATCAAATAATAAAGAATCTTCATAAATGTATGTATTTTTCTCGCCATTCTCTCGAGGCTTTGCCGTAATAACATCAAATTTTGAATAACATTTGTTTCTACCCGAATATGGACATCTGAAAGCCCAAATTTAGAATTTGTTTTATTATCGATTTCATATTTTGTAAAACTTTAATGAAATTTTGATTAACAAACTCGACTTAAAAGTGAGCAATGGCAACACTCTATTGGGGGGGGACCTTTTTATCTCCAGCGTGCGATACTGTGTATCAGAAATCATAAAGATATTCTCATTTTAAAATTACTTTGTGATATTGCTGTTGAACTGAATTTTGTGGCTTAAGTGCAAAGAACATGATATTTAATAATAAAAAACTCCCTTGAAATGTATTTTAAAATCTGAAACCTCCTCTTTTTTTTTTTTTTTTTTTTTTTTTTGTTTGTTTATTCTGCCATTCATTCTGCCATATATAAATAATAATAAACTTTCTTCCAAAAGTTACTATTTCGCTTTTTAAGAGTTCATTGAGATCATTTGATAATTTTTCAATTCAAAGCTACTTTTGCAAATGAAATTTCATTTTTGGAAAAGCTGATTCAGTATCTTGAATAGTAAGAATGCCGCTGTGAAAACTAAGACTGATAGCTTGCTGTTTTCTTTCTTGCTATCTCCCCCCCCTCCTCTCTCTCTCTCTCTTTTTTTTTTTTTTTTTTTGTGTGTGTGGCTGCGTGTGTGTGTGTGCGTGCGCGTGTGTGCGTGCGTGTGTGAGAGATTAGCTGGAAAAAATAGTGGTGAAAAGGAACATGATTTCAAGCCTCCTCAAATATAAAAAGAATTGATAAGTTACTCTAAATCTTTTTTATATCTGGTGGCAGCCCAATGCAAACCAGTCCATATATTTTAGCAATGTTTAGTTTTTAAATACCCTCATTTTTCAAAGAAATTTTTCAGATTTTTTTTTAGAATATAAAAGGAAGTGTTTGAAAAGAAATTTTTATGTTATTTTCTTGGCTGTATACTAATCTCCTTATTCTGTATTAGTTTTAAATTTTTACCTTGAAATCTTGCCTAAAATCGAACAGCGAATATCAGGTGTGCCCAGAGTGGGGTCACTAAGAGACTAGGACAAGATCAATAACTGTATCTCTGTTTCTCTACAGCTGTCAGTCAGCTCATTAACTATAGAAAGGTGGGTCCACACCTGTGTTTCATTTCCTGTTTTCTCTTTCTTTCTTTTCTCTTGGGGAGGGGAGGTTTGGTTATTAGCTAGGAAATTCTTTAATTTTATCATTTAGCTGTTTTTCTCTACAGCAGTTTTCTTTTTCTCTTTCGCTTTCATTCAAAGAAGTTTTGTTAGCGCTACATTTTGACAGCTTTGAGTTGTTGAAGTTTATCTAATTTTATTTTATAGTTTATAATTTCTGATTGCAGATATAATGTTAATTTATTTTTTCTGATTTTTAATTATTTTGCAAATGGATTGGGGAGAGATGACCATTTCTGAAGCATTGAAAGTGCTACACGAATTGCCTTCAAATAGTGAATCTGATAAGGATATCACTACATGTGCAAAACATGCAATGTTGGTTTGTGCTTTTTCAAAGGGGATGGATGTCACTTTCTTCGAAAAGTGCCACCATGAAAAAAATAGACGAAAGTGTAAATATGAAATGTAAATAATGTAACTATCATACACCCAAGTTACTTTTTTTTTCATTTATCTGCATGTAATCATCATATAATCAAGAAGAGCTTTTTTAGAGGGTGTGTAGAATAGCAGGCGTCCCCGTGGCACACCCTGGGTAATGCTAAATCTGCTACGGTATTCAGAATCTAGTGTTTTTTAATCGTAAGTAAAATCTCTTACTCTTTTATGCGTCTCCCAGCAATGCTTGTTTCAACACTCTTTTTGAAGCTCTATTCATTCAGTGTGCCCGCCCACAGAATTAAAATAAGTGCTATCTTGACAAAATTTTACCTGTTTAATCTTCCAGGCTTGATTAGACTGCTATTAAAGGCCTTTTTTTTTTAAATCAAAATTCCAACTTTTAAAGGTAGTGTTTTCTATTCTTTGTGTAAAAATCAAAAAATATCTGCAAGTTTTAATAATTGCAAATGTGTTTGTACACTTTGAGAAATTTCAAGGATTTCAAGGCCATTTAATTAATGTTTAAGATGTAAAGAATATTTTTTTTTTTTTTTAATATCAGTTTGATAGCCATTTTTCTGGTCTGTTAAGTCTGCAACATGATTTTCATCATAAAAGGAGATTTCTTAAAATTTCCGGGGATTTTCATTTCTCTTCCATTATTTTCGAGAGTCCTTCGTTCATGGTGGATTTGCACTTAAAAAGAGTTCTTTGCTTTGTATTGATGAAATTTCACTCTTTGTCAGTGAGATAAAGAAGTGGGATTTCTTCAGTAAATATCAGGTGTAAAACTTTAGTATCTTCATAACACATTGAGTTGATTTTAACACTTTTTCCCACTCAACTTATTTTTTAATTTTCCATTATAAGAGAATTCTGCGACAATAATAAACCATTTACTGAAACTTTTTTTGCATTAACGGAACCAGGTTTGTACATTTTTTCCATTTGTTTTTGTTATTAAATAGGTTTTTTTTTTTTTTTTTTTTTCCCCCAGTCATTTAGGCAAACCCATGCATGCTTCTTCAAGGGTCACAATGTATTTCCATTTATCTCGTATTAAATACTTTTCATGCAGAATTCTACAAATTATTTATAAACAACAAGGCATGTGGCAAAAGCTAGTAAACATAATGTTTTTTAGGTTTTTCAAGCTCTAAATCTTGGTTTATTACTTTATTTATTGTTGTTACATATGTATTTAAGGACTCTGCAGTTTATTTTCTGCATCAGCATATTTTCTCTTGTTACCAATGATTTAATTTAGAAACACATACCTTTTCCAGGTATTTGTTTAGAGTCTTCTCTCCATGTAGAAGTAATGGTTGATGGTTTTTCCCTTTCCAATTAATGTTGCTTATTTTGCATTTAGAAATTTTAATTCCATGCATTTCACAATGTTTTAAAATTATGGCATAGGAATATATTTTTTCAGAAAGTGCAAAAATATATATACCTCAATCTACAGCTTGTTTATATGCTGTATTTTGAAAGAAGAATAAATTTAAAAGTAGCAGACAGTATTTCTCATTTCAAGTAAAGAACTATTGCCAGAAAATTTTTATTCCAAAACATTTTTTTTTAATTCTTTATTGAAATCGCTCTGAAAATGTATAAACACTCTCCATATTGTTTCTATGGACAGATAAGCAAAGAAGGGGTTCATTACTACTTTTAAATAGTTTTGAACAATATAGGCACAACTTCTATTACTACAGCACTCCTAAAAATTGTCTACTTATTTTTTCTTGTAACTTTGAACAAGCCTTAGTTTTGGCCTGTATTTTAATCCCCCAAAACCTAAATTTGTGATTCTTGGGCATTAAAACATAATTTATAATACTTAAGAGTTTACCTTTAAGAAATACCCTAGTGCTTTTTTCAGAGTTTTAATAGCTCGTTAACATTTCTGCTATTTCTTGTACTTTCTGATTACCTAACTGCACTTCCCTCCCCAAAGAGCCAACTGTTAGCAGTGTTTTTTTTTTTTTTTTTTTTAAGTCCAAAGGGGCTTTGTCCCTGATTGGACTATTGTTTTCGTTTTACATTGAATCATTATAAATGTCCGTTTCACTTTTCAAACTGTTTCCACCAAATGTTAGACAGGGTTCGTACGATCCTTAAGAGTCCTTAAAAGTCCTTAGAATTTTTGGAATCGATTTTTGGTCCTTAAAAGTCCTTAATTTTGGCCAAAATCAACAGAAGGTCCTTAATTTTAATCATCTGAAATTTCTATCTGTTTTTACGACTGTCATTTTGAGTGTGAATTAGCATTTTGAGGAATATTTTTGGCGATTCACTGCCGTATGTATGGTAATCTTTTGAATGGGTTCATGAATTGTAATTTGTTTCTAATATAAATGATGGGATACTCAAGTTTCTATGCAAGAAGTGAAACACGAGCATTTTGAAATCCATTTTTTCTAGTAAAGAGCTCTTAAACAACTTTTTGCTTTTGGGGATGTGAATTTTTTTATTAAACGGTTCTAAATTTGGTGACTTTTAAACATTTTGGCGATTTTAAGATTAGTTTCTA